TTTTTCACCGGTAAATTAAACCGCTCTTATCTATGGGATGTTAGGGTAATAATGGATCAAAAAGATTTTTAAGAATAAAGACATTCCAAAAACAGCGGCGAACGCCTTCCTGAACCGACTCGGTCTACGCCATGCACTCCTGGTTGCGAAGAGTTCGCAGAAATGATTGATAGCTCGAAGGGCTGTTCTAAGATCTCTTCCACCCCCTCTCGCTTCTCTATTTCCCGCCTTTTTCCAGAACCCTCGAAACTTCTTCAAACTCCTGTTTCACAGTCCAATATTTTCATTCGAATCCAATAGGAATTCCTCGACCTGAAAGCGACGATGGCCCAAGGCGACGCGATTTGAAAAGGGGATTGAACCTGTGCTTGACAAGAGAGACGAGCGATTTTCCGGCTGCCTATGGTGACTTGAGACGACAGTGCTACACATATATAAAGCGGAAATCAACGTACCTTAGGAGGTCGTCGCGTTCTCGTTCTTTCCGTCCTGGCCGGAGATTTTCCAACTCCTCTTCGAGTTCCATTACTCGACCTTTGAGTACGTTCTTTTCTTGTAGGACCTCGCGAAGTTCAGCCAATGTAAATCGTGGCTCATCGTCTACCTTAAATAAGCGGGGGCTATAAAAGGCCATTACAATTGCAACAGATGAAAGAAGGCGTAGGAGAGCATGAATTGATAGTTAGGGCTGATTAGTTCGGTCAAAAGGACCGCAAGGCTATAAGTAGGAGCCACCAAGCCTGCTATCATAGCTCCCAGTTCAATCCTTAGCACATTTTTCTAGCGGAATTTTGGCCCAAGTTCACTTCAATCGCTTACGCGGAGACAGGCAACCCATTATTTCGCCTTATTTGCTGCACCTCTTGTTTGCTGTATCAGAAAAAAACATTCGTTCATCCCTCGTTGCGAGACGGCAAACAAGAGAAGAGCCCCACTCCGGCAGGGTCAATGGCTGACTGTCTCCGCCCAGATCATCAGCGTGTACTAGGCCTTTGATAGGG